TCTCTCTCTCTCTCTCGTCGGTCAGCAGGGTTTGGGCTGTCGTGTGTGTGTTAGTGTGTTTTAGCACACGCGTGTCACAGAGAATATTAAAGTCACGGCTCACGCTTTGATCACATGCCTTCATGTACGAGTCGCTCCGTGTGTCCTGATGCATACACACACACACACGGGGTGATTTGTTAACAAGGGGCCTCTCACAGATGTAGATCAGTGTGTGTGTGCTGTGATGTGTGTGAGTGACTCCATTGACCCCGGGCTCACATTATAATGTGTGTGTAATGGTTTGACTCTATATTTGTGTGTTTAGCATCTCAATGGGTCTTCCTCTGAGCCCCGGCGCTGATTCGGCCCGATCGGCCCGGCATGCCCTCTCCCTGATTGCCACCGCTAGACCTCCTGCCTTCATCACCACCATCGCTCGAGAGGTGACACACACACACACAAACTCACTCACTCACACACTCACGCACTCACTCACTCACTCACTCACTCTTCAGACCGATGAGCTTTGTAAAAATCAACACGTTTCAGAAAGGCGGGGCTTAGAGGAGAAATAATAATGTACAGTATGTGGAAAATAATGTGTTTTTTGAACCTTAAACTGCATAAACACATTTCATTACACCAAATACACAAAATAATGTTCTTTTTAGCAACATCATATGACCCCTTTAAAAAATGACACTAAGAAAGAAAGGTACATGCAAAAATACACATACTTTTATGCACAAATACACAAGCAGCACAAACATTTATACACTCTCACAACTCAGATATGTGCATTAAACCATAAAACTCACTGAAAAGTCTCCTTAAGTCTGTGTTTGTCATTGATGTGGTGTGTGTGTGTGTGTGTGTGTGTGTGTGTGTACTTGTTTATGCTACATTGTAAGGACCAACTGTCCCCACAAGGATAGTAAAACTTGAAATTTTTGACATTGTGGAGACCGGCCTGTGGTCCCCATGAGGGAAAAAAATGATTAAAAACAGTAAATGATGTTTATCTGAAAGTGTAAGAATGCAAACAGGTTTTCTGTAAAGGGTATGTTTAGGGTTAGGGTTGGGTTAGGGGATAGAAAATATTGTTTGGTCAGTATAAAAGTAATAGAAGTCTATGGAAAGTCCCCACAATTCACAGAAACAAACGTGTGTGTGTGTGTGTGTGTATGTGTGTGTAGGTTCACAGACACACAGCGATGCAGTCCCAGGGCTCTCAGTCTCAGCAGAACGTTCACACCACGACTCTCGCTCGTGCCAAAACTGAAATCCTGCGCGTCATGGAGATTCTCATCGAGAAAATGCCGTCTGATGTGGTGGACCTGCTGGTGGAGGTACACAAGCACACGCTAACCGCTAACACAGCTACAGTAGAGATCACCTTACACACAATATCTGCCGATGATCCTCGGCACAACTCAAGTCATTTCAAACAGAAACATGCCCAGTGTGTCAAATAATGTCAATCAGCTGACTGCTGCAGCTCATAACACATGCAGATGTAAACACACTGTGTCCTGCAGGTGATGGACATCATCATGTACTGCATTGAAGGCTCTCTGGTGAAGAAGAAAGGCCTGTCTGAGTGTTTCCCAGCCATCTGCAGGTCAGTGTGTGTTTATGAATTTCTGTGTACATGCGTTACAGTAATATCATTTTAATTTTATTTTATTTTTCATTTTTTATTTTAGTTTTTGTCATTTTCTTGTGCAATTTTGTCATTTTATTTTTATATATTCAAATATATTATATATTATTATTCTTTTATATAATTTTTCATTTTTTATTTTTTATTTTTAGTTAATTTATTTTGTCATTTTCTCACATGGTTTTGTTATTTTAATTATTGTTTTGTTTTTTAAAAAATATTTCTAAATTGATTTTAGTAATTTTTGTATGTGGTTTTGTCATTTTTATTAGTTTTAGTTTTTTTATATTTCTACATTGATTTATTTTTATTTTGTATTTCAGTTTTAGTTTGTTTTAGTTCAGTTTCAGATTTACATTAGTAATTTTAGTACTTCAATTTATTTCAGTTAGTTTTTCTTCTAATATTTTTCATTTATTTTATTTTATTTCAACTATTTCAGTTAGCAAAAATCTTTTTAAATAGTTTCATTTTTAGTTAATTTAACTATCTAATAATATAACTGCTATAATTATAAATTAAATATGGTAAGTTATTTTACTGTCATGTAAAGATGATAGAAATGAACTAATGAGTAAAGCAGTTAGCATTGCAGTTCATGTTCAGATTGAGTAGTTAGAAAAGTTAAATCTATTATAATCTGGTCAAAGTAATTAGTAACAGTGACTTTTGATTTTAGCCTCACCAGCACTTATTACTAACAAAGCCGTTTTATTAATTGGACACTGATATACTAATAAAACTGATGACAGCTCAAACGAGCAGCTCATTGATCTCAAAGGGTCAGAGGTCAAACCTCAGGTGACAGCGATTGATGCATATTTGATGGATTAAAGTCCTTATACAGGCTGAACCTTTGCATTTGCATACTACCTTTATAAGGTATATGAAGTATGCAACATTATGTTTTTCAATAATTTGTGAAAAAATTAATGCAAATTTTTATGAAATAATCTTAATATTTATTTATTTACTGATTACATGTTGTTTATTATTTATGATAAATAAACAATTTTTTTTTTTTTTTTTTTTTTTTTTTACATTATGAAATTTTTTTTTATGCTAAAAATTAGAATTTTTAATTAAATATCTACAGAATTAATTTTGGTAAAATTCATTTCATTTTGGAAATACATTTTGGATTGACGATTGAAATTTGGATACTAAAAATGTAATTTAATCACACAAAATTACATTAAATAATAAATGTCAATAATTGAAAAATTTTACTTAATAAACGTAATAATTTACAGTTACTTCATTATTTTTATTTTGTATAAAACTAAATTAAAATTCTTAAAATAATTTATAAATTATTTTTATAGAAAAGTAATGATTTGATTATATTATCATTAAAATTGTGGTTGATTTATCACACTGAAATTAATACAAAATGTGATAAAATAATTAAAATAATATTTATTTATTTATGTATTACTTGTTGATTATTATTTATTATGACTCCGTTATAACAAACAATTATTTTGCATTTTTGATTGAATTTTGTATTCTACAATTTTAATTTAATAACAAAATATAAACTAAAGAGTAAAATTAAAATGAATTTTAAATTAAGATTTCAAGGTTTACAAATAATTTTGTAGAAAAATAAGTTGATTCAAAACATTCTTATTTACATGAATGTAGTAAAAAAGAGAGATGATTAAACGGAAGTTGATTTATGTCAAGTGGAGCACATGGTCTCCTGCAGGAGTGAGCTAGTGTCTGTGAATCAGTATGCAGTGTGTTTCCTCTCATCTCTCTCTCTGCAGGTTTTATATGGTGGCGTACTGTGATCGCAGCTATCGTATCGCTGTCGGTGCCCGTCAGGGTTCAGTGGCCCTTTATGACGTTCGCACTGGAAAATGCCAGGTAAGCGAGCGGCGTCTCTGTGGCGAGTGTGGATGGGTGCTCACCTGCTGCATGATGGGAAGCGCTGTCCTGCAGAGACTGAGATTGTGCGATCGATCCGGTCCAGCATCGTGAACACGAGCCCAGCTGACCGTGATGTCACAGCTGGGGGTCACATGATCGGCGTGTGTGTGTGTGTGTGTGTGTGTGTGTGTGTGTCAGTAATACTCTCAGAGAAACACACTGCCTCTGGGTTGAGTTGATAAGAGACAGACCTAGACACACAGTCAAAACTGTGGACAGACTTGACTGCATTTTTTTTCTTGGTATTAAAATACTTTCTAAAAAAAATGTATGTGAATTTATACAAATTGTAGTATTATATATATATATATATATATATATATATACATACACACACACTATTGTTCAGAAGTTTGGGGTTGGTGAGATTTTTTAAAGAGTCTCTTCTGCTCACCAAGGCTGCATTTATTTGAACAGAAATGTGGTAAAAATCAGTAAAATAGGGAAATATTATTCTAATTTAAAACAGCTGTTTTCTATGTAAATATCTGTTAAACTGTAATTTATTTCTGTGATGCGCAGCTGAATTTTCAGAATCATTACTCCAGTCTTCAGTGTCACATGATTTTCAGAAATCATTCTAATATGCTGATCAGTTGTGCTGCACCATATTTTTGTGGAAACTGTGATACATTTTATTTTTCAGGATTCAAAGATGAATAGAAAGTTCAAAAGAACAGCATTTATTTGAAATAGAAATTCTTTTATGACATTATAAAAGTCTTTACTGGCATCTTTTACAAAAACATTTGTAAAAGAATGTCTGTGTGTGTGTGTGTGTGTGTGTGTGTGTGTGTGTGTTCTCTCTCTCTCTCTCGCACACACACACACACACACACACACACACACACAGACACAGAGGACCCACGGTTGTGAACGTCACTGTCTTCAGATCAGTGTTTGTGTTTCAAACCTGATGAAGATCATGTGATCAGTGATGTCCGTCTCCGTGGCCAGAGCATTATGGGATGTGCATATGATCTGATCGCTGGGTCCCCAGACAGCGATTTCACAGAGATTTGATCTGGAGAACTGTAAACAGCCTAAAATCAATCCTTCAATCAATTCAGCTGTGAGACCCAATCTAACTGTCTCACACACACACACACTACAACTCACAATACAAAACACACACTTACTTGTATATGTGGTTCATGGGGACGCTCCATAGTGTGTGTGTGTGTGTGTGTGTGTGTCTGGTCCGCACAGCCATCTGTCCTTCCTTTTGATCTGTGAAGTGGTCAGTCGGACATCAGGCGTCTCCTGCATTTACTAATTAAACGCTGTGTGTTTTGTGTTTGAGTGTGTGTGTGTGTGTGTGTGTGTGTGTGTGCGTGCGTGCGTGTAAGTGTGTGTGAGCGAGAGTGTGTGAGTGTAAGTGTGTGTGAGCGAGAGTGTGTGCGTGTAAGTGTGTGTGTCTGTGTGTGTGTGTGTGTGTGTGTGTGTGTGTGTGTGCGTGCGTGTAAGTGTGTGTGAGCGAGAGTGTGTGCGTGTAAGTGTGTGTGAGTGAGAGTGTGTGCGTGCGTGTGTGTGTGTTGTTTTATGTGAGTGAGTATGTATGTGTGTGTGTTTTGTGTGATTGTGTGTGTGTGTTTTGTGTGAGTGTGTGTGAGTGTGTGTGTTTTGTGTGAGTGTGTGTTTTGTGTGAGTGTGTGTGTGTGTGTGTGTGTGTGTGTGTGTGTGTTTTTTGTGTGTGAGTGTGAGTGTGTGTGTTTGTTTGTGTGTGTGTGTGTTTAAATAAAGTCTGTTGTTACTGATGCAACACAGTTTATGCTGCTGTTGCAAATGAAGAGATGTGTGTGTGTGTGTGTGTGTGTGTGTGTGTGTGTTTTGTCAGTGTTTCCTGATGCAGCACATTTTCTCTTCCTATGTGTTTGTTCTGGTGTGTTGGTGGATATAGTTCATAAATGTCGTCTCATCATATAGTCTGCTTCACCCTGCAGCTTATTCTGTGCTTATTAAGTGATCGTTTGATTGACACACATGAAACTTTTGCAGTTAATTCAGCCTGAACCATGTAGTGTATAAACTGAGCAAAATATGCAATTTGCTGAAGATGCTGATATTTCTATAATGAAATTCTGATGCTTGTAATGTAAATGAATGAGATGTTTATAACAGTAGAGTAGATACTGACATACACTGATCTAAATATCAGTCGTCACTCTATATCTCCAATAATAAGATGAGATTGAAATGATCCAAACATATAATGCAGTGATTGAGAGCTGAAGAAATAAACGCTCCTCAGAAGATGTGAGATGTTCTGGAGGCTTGTGAAGATCATTCCTCCGCTGAGGAACAGTGAAAGTAAAGCTTCTGGAAACAAACGCTCCTCAAAAGATCCTGAAGATCAGATTTGACTCTAAAACATGATTGCTGGAGAATCAAGTAAAGCTGAGCTGCTTCAGTCCAGTAAGAGTTCATCTGGAGATATTACTGCAGTTATTCTGACGTTTACTTGAGAAAAATCAGTCAAGATTTGACAGCAGAAAGACACGTGAAGCAGCAGCTGAAGCTGGACGTTGGATTACACTAAAAATCTCTAAACTATCAATCAGATGACAGAAGAGATGGAGTAGATTGAGTGTGAAACAGGTTTTAGAGAAATATGCATATCAAATATGATACACTAGGGTTTAAATTGCATATAACCAAAGACTAAAACCTAAACTTAATCCAAACTTTACCACTTTATTTTGAAGCTGCATTACAATCACTGCTGTTGCGTTTAAGAAACTGAAACCTAGTTAAATGATTTAATTATTAGTTTGAAGTTTTTGGTATATTATTTTAGGTATCTACAGCATAATTGATCATTATCCCAGACACCTGGTCTTTTTTATTTTTTTTTATTTTTTTTTTATTTTAAAAATCATTATTTCATGTGCATGTATTATCATGGCAGTGCTCTTTAGTATCAATGAGGTACTATTATAATTAAAAAAAAAAGTATTTTAGTTACAGTTTTAGTATTTTTGTTGTGTTTTTGTGATTTTTATTAGTTTTTTTTTTAATGTGCCTATATAGTAATTACCCAATTTTTTTTAGTTTTAGTTATTTGGAAAGTAGCTGAAATTAAATGCGTTTAAGATTAAAAAAATAAATTATGTTATATATATATATATATAGCTGATAGTTAAGTTAAACTTTATTTTAACAGATTTTTTATTTTATTAACAGTTTTAGTATTTTTGTTGTTTTTGTGATTTTTATTAGTTTAGTTTAGTTTAGTTTTTTAAACGTCCATATAGTAATTACAATTTTTGTTTGTTTTGTTTTAATTATTAGGAACGTAGCTGAAATAAAATAAGATTTTTTTATATATATATTTAGCTAATATTTAAGTTTCAAGTAACAGAATTTATTTATTTATTTATTTATGTATTTGTTGTGGTTTAAGTTTTGAGTATAATAACCCTGCTTTGTGGATTTGAAAGCACACAGAAAGTCATTCACAGTTGATTTTCCTGTGTTTTTCTGTCTGCTGAAGTTTTCGGTGAGCTTTCGTGATCTGACAGGCCAATATTTCTGGCGTCCCATGTCTTTATTTCTGCTGTCAGATTTAGATTCCAGACGCGGGTCAGGTGAGGCTGTTTGATCTTTAATCGTGAGAGATTGTGTTAGCGTGCTGCTCTCATATCGCCGCGCGTCTCTTTCTAATCTAATGGCTGTGTTATGAGGGTTTTTTCTGACGGGTCGGACAGATTATTGCGTTCCAGCAGCTGTTTATCATTCCCACAGCCGCCGTTCATTTCAGCGCCGGATTCAATCAAACACTCGTTTACAGGCCTTTATACAGACGTCTGATGCTCTGCTGTCCTGGGACGAGAAACTGTGTTCACAGTGTTTTATGATAATATCGTCTGTTCATCTGAAGGTCTGGTTTTCAGGGTCAGAAAAACACTGAATTTAGTCATGAAAACATCTTAAATTAGACAAGAAAGCTGACCAAAATGCCTTTATTAAAATGTTTTATAATGCTATTATCAAGACAATAACTGCTTAATAAAATAGGTATAAAATGATGCTACTATAATGAATTAATAAAGAAAAGTTGCTAAATGCTGCGCAGGTGATGATCTGTAAATATGGATGCCTTTAAGGTGCCTTGGAATAACATCTATAATAAATATCTTGGTTTATGAATATGATAATCATTACTGTTACTATACTCTTCTGTAAGGCTATTTTTGTGATTTGTGTTTTTAATTTTATTGTTTTTAAGTATATTGAAATAAATATTGATTTATTATATAGTGATAATATATTTATAGTATACAATTATATATTTATTTTATTATTTATTTCATTTACTGTATTTATGGCAGATTTCATGTAATGTTCTAAGTAATTATAACATAAGAATAATACGGATAATAAGAATAAAACAGTATATATTGTTGTATTTTGTAGTGATAATATATATGTTATATTATACTATTTAGTTTTTTTATTATTTTAATTTGTAATGCTTGTATTTGTTGATGTTTATGTAATGTTGCTTGTAAATATAGCAATAATAATAATAATGTATTTTATAGTGATTATATATTTATATTACACAATTATATATTCGTTTTAATATTTTATTTACAATATTTGTATTTTTGTTACATTGTTATTATTAATTTATAATCCGATACTGTCACTATGCTCTATATTTTATATGTAAATATATAATATTGAAATATAGATTGCTATATAATTATAATATATTTATATTTTACAATTACATATTGATTTTATTTAAAGTTTGCATACAGTTTTTGAATTTATTTGTTTATTAATATTTATTTTGAAAATCACACTATTATTGAGGCATGTCAGCAGTCTCTTCACAGTGGTACCCGTCTCAATCCCACAATGCACTAGTGCAGCTGCAGGACCCCCTCCCATGATTCAGAGTGGCTCATAAAGCTCTTAACACACACACACTCTTCAGCTGACCTCGCTGCCTTTTCTTTCAGTACAGTTCAACATGAAGCATCAGGAACAGGAAGAGATGGGGTTTTCTTACAGGAGATGAGCATGAACGAGATGTTTGAGCAGTGATATAAGAGATAGCTGTCTAAACCTGTGCCTGTTTTTATTTCCACAGCATATTCACGGACATAAAGGACCCATAACGGCGGTGTCCTTCGCACCGGACGGGCGTTATCTGGCCACCTACTCCAACGCTGACAGCCACATCTCCTTCTGGCAGGTGAAGACCTCTGACCTCTGACCTCTAGATTCAAAGAGTCACTTATGGTTGCAAACAGGATGCAAAATTGAATGTAAAGAAGTAGAATTAAAACAATTTGAAATTCAAATAACTTTCTTTCACTAGAAAAGCATAAAATGGTCAAGATAAACTTTAAATGTCAGCTAGATAAACCCTTGTTTGAGGGGGGAAAAAAAAGGATTTAAAATTTGTCATTTAGAGACTGAGAGCGGCTAAATAATATAAATATAATTATAAATAATATAACACTTAATAAACAAACTCCAGCTGGTCCAATATAATATATATAAAAACATAAGTAAATAAAAAAGTTAATATAAATATAAAAATAAATAGAAATAGCAATAAAAAATATATAAATGTACATATAAATCTAAAAAAATATATAATAGTATAAAAATATAAATGTAAAGGTAAATAATGTAAAAGTAAATATAGATATAAATGTAAATCTAAACTAATATTAATGTAAATGCAAGTATAAATATAAAAATATAAATGTATTATAAAAAAATAATACATAATATAAATGTAAAGTTAAATTATGTAAATGTAAATATACATATACATATAAATATAAAAATAGAAATGTAAATGTAAAAAATAAAAGTATAACATAAAAATTCAGAAATGAATGAACTAGAAGTGTAGTCTATTTTATGGTGGTATTTGGCATGAAATGTGAAGCAGTGTCCTGCAGTTAGATGTGATGTACTTCACCTGAATCTATTTAAACATCTTTGGACAGTCGTCTGAACAGAGACTCAGAGCGTCCCGCGAGCGTCTGTCCTGAGCAGGTCTTTCAGAAACACCGTCGAGTCGTCTTCTCTCCTCTTCTCTTCCTGTATGTGTGTGTGTGAGAATGTCTTCCAGGCTAATGGTATCATTACTGTAAGGCTAAACCGGGCCGTCTGAATGGTGTGTGTGTGCTAATGAATTCTCCAGTCCTCCAGGGTCTGCAGGCGTCCGCCTCTCGCTCGCCCAGGCTGGGATGAGGGCGACTGGCCGTCTGACACCGCTGAAGCCCTACCCTCTCTGGAGCACCGTGTGTGTGTAGACTGACTGACTCAGTGTGTTGGAACTCTAGAGCTTCCTGTGTGTGTGTTTCGCTTATCTTACATGGCACCATCTCATGTTCAGATTTGTCAAATTTGTTCAGATTTTTGTCTGTTTTTGTTGCATGTAGTGTCAGAGAATCAATACAAATATCAAAAATATAAAGAATATAGGAAATATAAATAAAAAATACTATTGTGATTATAAATGTAAATATAAATAAAAAACTAAAATAAAGATTATACAACCATCATTCTATCCATCTTTGTCATCCATCCATCATTCTATCCATCTTTCTATCATCCATCCATCTTTTTATCCATCCAACCATCATTCTATCATCTTTCTGTCATCCATCTATCATTCTATCCATCCAACCATCATTCTATCCATCCATCCATCCAGCTTTCTATCCATCCATCATTCTATCCATCCATCCATCATTCTATCTATCTTTCTATCCACCATTCTATCCATCTTTCTGTCATCCATCCATCATTCTATCCATCCAACCATCATTCTATCCATCATTCTATCATCCATCCATCCGTCCATCCATCATTCTATCCATCTTTCTATCATCCATCCATCTTTCTATCCATCCAACCATCATTCTATCCATCTTTGTCATCCATCCATCATTCTATCCATCCAACCATCATTCTATCCATTATTCTATCCATCCAACCATCATTCTATCCATCTTTCTGTCATCCATCTATCATTCTATCCATCCAACCATCATTCTATCTTTCTATCCATTCCACATCCATCCATCTTTCTATCCATCCAACCATCATTCTATCCATTATTCTATCCATCCATCCATCATTCTATCCATCTTTCTATCCATCCATCTTTCTATGATCCAACCATCATTCTATCCATCATCCATCCATCATTCTATCCATCCATACATCATTCTATCCGTCTTTCTATCATCCATCCATCTTTTTATCCATCCATCATTCTATCCATCTTTCTGTCATCCATCTATCATTCTATCCATCCAACCATCATTCTATCTATCTTTCTATCCATCCATCCATCATTCTATCCATCTTTCTATCATCCATCCATCTTTCTATCCATCCAACCATCATTCTATCCATTATTCTATCCATCCATCCATCATTCTATCCATCTTTCTATCCATCCATCCATCCATCTTTCTATCATCCAACCATCATTCTATCCATCATCCATCCATCATTCTATCCATCTTTCTATCCATCCATCCATTCATCATTCTATCCATCTTTCTATCTATCCATCCATCATTCTATCCGTCCATCCATCATTATATCCATCTTTCTGTCATCCATCTATCATTCTATCCATCCAACCATCATTATATCCATTCTATCCATCTTTGTCATCCATCCATCTTTCTATCCATCCATCCATTTTTCTATCCATCCAACCATCATTCTATCCATCCATCCATCATTCTATCTATCCATCCATCCATCCAGCTTTCTATCCATCCATCATTCTATCCATCTTTCTATCATCCATCCATCCATCCGTCCATCCATCCATCCATCTTTCTATCATCCAACCATCATTCTATCCATCCATTCATCGTTCTATCCATCTTTCTATCTATCCATCCATCATTCTATCCGTCCATCCATCCATCATTATATCCATCTTTCTATCCATCCATCCATCATTCTATCCATCTTTCTATCATCCATCAATCATTCATTCTATCCATCTTTCTATCATACATCCATTATTCTATCCATCCATCCATCATTCTATCCATCAATCATTCATTCTATGCATCTTTCTATCCATCCATCCATCTTTCTAGCTATCCATCCATCATTCTATCCGTCCATCCATCCATCATTATATCCATCTTTCTATCCATCCATTCATCATTCTATCCATCCGTCAATCATTCATTCTATCCATCTTTCTATCATACATCCATTATTCTATCCATCCATCCATCATTCTGTCCATCAATCATTCATTCTATGCATCTTTCTATCATCCATCCTTCATTCTATTCTTCTTTCTATCCATCCATCAATCATTCATTCTGTCCATCTTTCTGTCATCCATCCATCATTCTATCCATCCATCATCCATTCATCTTTCTATCCATCCATCCATCAATCATTCATTCTATCCATCTTTCTATCCATCCATCCGTCATTCATTATTCTATCCATCCATTCATCCATTGTTCCATCCATTCATCCATCCATTATTCTATCCATCATCCATCCATCCATAATTCCATCCATCATCCATTACTCTATCCATCGATCTATCCATCATCCATTATTATATCAATCATCCATCCTTCCATCCATCATTCTATCCATCCATCATCTGTTGTTCTATCCATTCATCCATCATTCTATCCATCTATCCATATTTCTATCCATCCATCCATTCATCCTTCATCCATTGTTCTGTCCATCCATCCATCCATTGTTCCATCCATTATTCTATCCATCATCCATCCATCCATCATCCATTATTATATCCATCGATCTATCCATCATCCATTATTATATCAATCATCCATTCATCCATCCATCCTTCCATCCATCATTCTATCCATCCTTCCATCCATCATTCTATCCATCCATCCATCATCTGTTGTTCTATCCATTCATCCATCATTCTATCCATCTATCCATATTTCTATCTATCCATCCATCCATCCATCCTTCATCCATTGTTCCATCCATCCTCCATTGTTCTATTCATCCATCCATCCTATAAACCTATAAATGTCAAGGCTTTTTAAACATTTTTTCAAACAAGGGTTTATCTAGCTAACATTTAAAGTTTGTCTTGACAATTATTGCTTTTCTAGAAAAAAAATTGAATTTGAAGTTCAAATTGTTTTAATCCTACTTACATTCAAATTCCAATTCCAATTTTGCACCTAGATTGCAACCTGTTTCCTGTTTTCAGGAGCTGAATTGAAGTGTAAAGGCATTTTCACTTCTGTTCTGAATGATGCAGAAACCTGATGTATATATATTAGGGCTGTAAGTCGATTCAAAATTTTAATCTAATTAATTACATGATGTGTTGATTAATTAATCTAATTAATCGCAAATTACATTTGGCTGTGAAAATATGCCCAAAAGATTATTTAAAGCTATTTTTGTGTTAAATGAGAAAGTATTAAGGAGACATTACAAATAGTAACTTTAGAAAGAAATATTTTATTTGATTCAACATCAAATGTAACGATTAGGCTACAACGGCCCAACATGAACTGTGGAACATAAAAGAAGATAATTTGAGAAACATCTCAAATGTTTCTTTTTTTTTTTTCATTCATGCAATGAAGGTCATTGGTAACCAAAACAGCTTTGTTACCAACAGTCTTCAAAATACCTTCTTCTATGTTCCCAGTCATTCAGGTTTGAGTAAATTATGACATAATTACCTTTTTTTGGGTGAACTATCCCTTTAAAGTTTTTTTTCCCTTTTTCCCCACATTTGCACTTGTGGTATTTGGGCATAAACAGCACTCGTGTGATAGGCCTGTTGCTCTCGCTGCTCGTGTGATAGAAATATGAGACAAAAACTCATACAGGAGCATTTTTGCCCCAATATCTTGAATTTTAGGGCATAGCTGCATTTATGGAGTTGTTGCCCTGCTTCATAGGCCTATATATATATATATATATATATATATAGTACTGAGTGCAGGTCTTCATTCATGGCTGTGCGTCTCTCTGTCTCTGTCTCAGATGAACACGTCTCTGTTAGGCAGCATCGGGATGTTGAACTCGGCTCCTCAGCTGCGCTGCATCAAAACCTATCAGGTTCCTCCGGTCCAGCCGGCGTCGCCCGGATCCCAGAACGCCCTCAAACTGGCCCGCCTCATCTGGACCTCCAACCGCAACGTCATCCTCATGGCCCATGACGGCAAGGAGCACCGCTTCATGGTCTGAGGGGTCGGGGGTCAGGGGTCGCGTGACCTTTGACCTTCCCAGCTGAGCTGTCAACTGGTTTACACTCTTCCTTTCATTCCTCTGTTTATTTAAAGCGTTTGAAGTTTTGTTCTCTTTTGACTATTTATGAAGATGATAAAGGACTGCAGGGCACTAAAACGTGTTTTTGTGCTTGAAGGTCAAGCGAGGTTTTGCTCAGGCGAAGCAAATATGAGTTTTATTTTAGTTTTCTCTCCGGTTGATTCGCTGAAGCTGTTTTATCATTCCAGCTATATAAACACACATTTGACTCGTTTGGTCTAAATCAGAGAAAGATCCCTCGCTGACTTTATTTAGAATCGCAGAATCCTCGTTCGTACTGAATGACTGGAATCGTATCGTGATATCGTGTATCATAGGAATGGTTTTTGTTTGCGCTCGTGCTGTAGTCGTGAACTCTTCGGTTTGCTATTGTCTGTGTTTTTGTGAGTCGTTGGTTCGTGTGAAGTCACTGGCACTGAAATACACGTTTAAAAGCAGTCGCGTTCGCTTTCCCACACGCCGTCTGCTGTAATCCACTGATAGAGGTGTATTCTAGAGACACGGCTGTGACGTAAAATACATTGAAATCTGCATCTGCAACGTCACAGCAGAGCTTTGAGAAATCACTGTTAGCTGAATTTATTCAGGATTTCATCCCACAATTAACAGCAAAAAAGAATGTTATATTTGCGTAAAGAGCTATTTTAGGATCATTAAGGTTTTTTTGCATTGTGCAGTTTTTTTCATAACAAATCTATTTTTAGGATCAAATTCTGATTACTGTAATATAAAAAAGTAATTCTCATACTGTAATAAACATTTAAAATAAGTCAAATTAATTCTAGCATTTAGCATTCAAATCAGCAAATTGTAATATCATTTAAGTGTTTTAATTTTTTTCTTATGAAAATAACCATAATCACAATACAAAAGCATAATAATTAACTACATTTTTGTGAATAGGCAATAATTCAATCGTAATGGTCTTAAATCTTAAAATAGGCAAAAATTTCATTATGCAAATTATAATTTCTTATTTTCAGTGCTGGCTTAATATATTCTGTATTTCATCCCTAAATCAAATTAATTATCAATCAATTAATTATTATTTATAAATATTAAGAAATAAATTAAATTTCTTAAATTAAAATGTATATATATA